TCCTCCCTAATAGGGAAGCGGTTCTGTGTAGTGACATGGTTTAAGAGTGCACCCTCCGAAGTTAGGCTACTTGGGTGCAGATTATGGCTTTCTCTGGACCTCAGAGCTTTCCTGTGTCAAAAAGAGGTAATAATCGTATCTATTTTGTGAGATTGTTGGGAGGTTAGATTTGGGATTTTGTTGATGAAACAGTTTATTCAAAAGTCTATTAGACTTCTATCTGTTTACTTCCAGTAGAGCCCATAAGCCAAATACGTCTGTCAAAGATTTTATTTAAGGCCTGAGGATGCTTGTCTTCTGTTTACTGGCTTATGAGCGCTGCCTGTCATTCTCATGTCCATGTAACTGATGCTAAGGAAGATCAGCTGAAAGAATTTAGGGTAGACAGTGAGCAGTCTGTCGCATCCAACTGGTCCCTGTGTTCACTCTTCAACAAATACTTATCATATAAGTTACCAGGAACTCAAGTTAGGCTCTGAGTAGACACTAAAAGATAAAACCATTGTTGTAGAAGGTATTCCAACTCAAAGTGACCCAATAAGTCCGATAAAACTGCTCTGTGGGGTTTCTAAGGTTGTTAATTTTATGGAAGTAGACAGCCACATCTTTCTCCATTGGGTGGTTGGTGGGTTCAAACCACCAACCTTTTGGTTAGTAGCTGAGTGCTGTAGCCACAGTGCTACCTGGGCTTTATTCCTCAAAAAGCTTATTTTCTACTGAAGGAAACAGATAATCACATTTTCAGAGAGATAGATCAAGTAACAAGTTGTGGTAAATGCCAAGGAGGAACTGAGTGAAGTTATGTAATAGATAATGCCATCATCTTTCAGGAGTCAGCACTTCCTGGGAAACCCGCCTTGAACCCGCCGTCCTTGTTGCACATGAATTAGCTGCTTTTCTTACACAATCTATCACAGATATAAAGTAGCTGTGTTTCCTGGCTCGTATCAAAGACTGTTGTTATTTTGTGTTTACTTATATGTCCCCATGGGCCTCCGACACAATGCCTGGCACATAGTGGCTACTTACTGTTATTGTTTTCACTGCTGTCAGGTGAATTCTGACAGTGATCCCATGTGTGTAGAATAGAATTGTGATCCATAGGTTTTTATTTTGTAATTTTTGGAAGCAGATGGCCAGAATTCTAAGAAGCCTCTGAGGGGTTCAAGCCACTAAGCTTTTGACCAGCAGTTCAGTGCTTAATTTTTGTGCCACCCAGGGACTCCTAGTAGGTACCCACCCCAAATCAAACCCGTTGCTATGGAGTCAGTTCCACATGGACCTTTTTGGACAGAGTAAAGCTCCTTCAGGTGTATGAATAGGTGCCTGTTGTTGGTAGGTGCCCCTGAGTCAGTTAGGGCTCACAGTGACCCTGTGCATGACAGAATGAAGCAGAGCCCTGCCCTGCCATCCTCACAATTGTCCTGGTGTTTTAGCCCATTGTCACAAGGCTGTGTGTATCTATCATGTTGATCCATCTTGTCAGGGGTTGCCCCGCCCCCCAAGTCTATGTGAAATGGCTGCCTAGTATGTGTTAAATGAATGCATAGAGGAATGAGGAAGTCATTCAGAGATATCCTTTTCACATCAAGTGTGAAATCCCTTACATCAAGGATTATAATTTTTACTGTGTTGGCAAGAAAGATTTTGAATCTTGGACCCACCAAAGCTATACTTGATTCATCCAATTTTAAACAGAAGTGATGATGGTAGTGATAATATTTGTCACCAGTTATTGGGTGGTTGCAATGATGTCAAGAGTTTCCACATTAATAATCCTCCTAAACTTTTATGAAGATATGGGTTCTAAATACAGCGTTAAACCTTTTACTAATTAGAAACTCTTGGGGGTCTTGAAGGCACCTCCCGCTTAAATGTTGAAAAACCATCATGCTTCTCATTCCAAACCTGGCCTCTTCCACTGAATTTCATCTCAGTGAGCGACACCCGCATTCACGTAGTTAAACTGCCCTTATCTTCAGCTTCTATAATATCTGGCATGTATTTTGTTTCTCGTAACAAAATCCATCTTAATATAATTATAATACCTTCAGAAAAAAAGAAAGTGAATAATTTCACAAACCAGTCTAAAGGTGCTGTAAGGGGCTAGTAGCGGGCTCAGCAATGTTCCTGAGAGCAGACTCTCTGGTCGTCATCTCTGCCATCTTCAGCTTGAGGACGTTTGTCCTCAGGTGGTCTGTCACTTCACAATCAAAGATGGTACAGCCTCACTCCAGATGAGGTCGGCGTGATTCCTGTTGGACAATATCCTCAATACAGGAGTTTCGTATTGGAATTTATTGTGAAAAGAAGCAGTTCCAGACAGAATAAATGTTGATTCAGTTCAAATATTTGCTCATTGATTCTGGAAGGCTGGGTGGTCAAAAAAGAAAAAGGTGCAGGCTCTGTACCTAGAAAGAGTTAACAAACATATTGTTAGTTGTTTAGTTGATTCCAACTCAAGGAGACTGTATGTATTAGTGAGTGAGAAAACCATGTAAATGTCCGAGAGAAGGCAGTGAGTCACCGTATGTACTCAAGTATAAGCCGACCTGAAGATCAGCCTAGGCACCTAATTTTACCACAAAAACTGCCTTAAAAAATGTGCTGAAAAACTTGGGTTATACGACTATATATGGTAAATGCTGTGTGGTGGCACAGTGAACGGGGAAGGAGGTAACTAGAAAAGGCTCATGGAAGAGCCTTTCAGCTGTTTCATGATTGGACTGCACACATGATTGGACTGCACACGTTTCATGATTGGAGTACACACATGCTGCTATGATCTGAGTGCAGGCATGAGGAAGCTGTACCTCCTCTCTTAACTGATGTTTGAACATTTCTAATGAGTTCCTCATTTTCTCATGCTTTTGTCAGCTTTTTATGTGGTGACTTGACCTCTCTCTGTATTGGTTTTCTGTCATTTGATATTCAATTCCACTAGATAGGAATTTTTATCCAGTTAACCAGTCTGCAACATCCACTGACTAACAGAAAAGGGGGAAACGCTCAGTATAGTTGAATACTGATTCTAGTAGAAGGTCTGAAATTGTCTAAAAGGTAATGTCTAATTCTTTCTAGGATAAAAATGCTTATTCTCTCATTCTGCTTTTTATCCTGTGATGGTTGAGGGGTATGTGGCCAAATGGTCTCCTGTCGGTGGGGGGCCCATCTGTCCTGGTTAGATGTTCCTTTCCTCTGACTTCCAGGGCAGTCAGTGTCTCCCATCTTCCTACCAGTGTTTGCCTTGCTATCATATGCAAATGACGTTGTGCCTGGTGCAACTTATTCTCATGCCTCTCTGGATGGTCACAACCTAGTTGTCCTCCCAGGCTGGTTAGGCCTCGCACTGACTCCTATCTCTGCACTCTGCCGGGTCGCTGCCATGTCTCCTTTTTTTAAAATTCATTTTAATAGGGCCTCATACAACTCTTATCACAATCCATACATACATCAATTGTGTAAAGCACATTTGTACATTCATTGCTCTCCTCATTCTCAAAACATTTGCTCTCCACTTAAGCCCCTGCCATCAGCTCCTCATTTTTTCCCCTCCCTCCCCGCTCTCCCTCCTTCATGAACCATTGATAATTTATAAATTATTATTTTGTCATATCTTGCCCTGACATCTCCCTTCACCCGCTTTTCTGTTGTCCGTCCCCCAGGGAGGAGGTTATATGGAGATCCTTGTAATCGGTTCCGCCTTTCCACCCAACCCTCCCTCCACCCTGCCATGTCTCCTTGACTTGCAACTTCACCTACAAAACTGCTGCAGGGTCATCTGTTCTTCCATGGTGGAGCCTGTGGCAGGCCATTGGCTCGAGCAGTCGGTGCCTCAGGGTTTACCATTGCCTGTCTAGGATTGGAAAAATTCTCTCATGAAAATAGCTTGTTTTACTATCATGCTCAGTCCCCGCCAGGGTTTCAGCCATTCCTCTTTGTTACATTACCCTTGATCATGCCCTACCAGGCCTCCCACACCCACCTCACCACCAATTTGGATCACTTGTGGTGTGAGTGGCGGTACTGGGAGGGTAGAGGGAGAGTGGGTAGGAAAGAGGGAACCGATTACATGGCTCTATATGTGACCTCCTCCCTGGGGGACAGACAACAGTGAAGTGGGTGAAGGGAGACGTCGGACAGGGCAGGATATGACAAAATAAATAATTAGTAAATTATCAAGGGCTCAGAGGGATGGGAGAGCGGGGAGGGAGGGAGAAGAAATGAGGACCTGATGCCAGGGGCTTAAGTGGTGAGCAAATGTTTTGAGAATGATGAGGGCAATGAATGTACAAATGTGCTTTACACAATTGATGTATGTATGGATTGTGATAAAATTGTGAGCCCCTAATAAAACGATTAAAAAAAAAATCAAATGAGGGGAAGGGAGGGGGGGAATGAGGAGCTAATAACAAGGGCTTAAATAGGAACTAAATGTTTATAAAATAGTAATGGCAACATATGTACAAATATGCTTGATACAATTGATGTATGGGTTGTTATATAAGAGCTGTAAGAGCCCCCAATAAAATGATTGTTAAAAAAAATAGCTTGTTTCATTATGGAATCCTTTTGTGTGTGTGTTAGATGCTACATATTCATGTGATCTCTTTACAGTACCTTCACTAGTAAAATCTATCTTCACAGGCAGATGGATGCTTCTAGCAGACCAAGGTAAAGGCTATATAGTTGAAAGACAAAACAATAGCAATAATAGTACTTTTAAAAACACTATTACTATTACACATTTGTGTATACAAAGGGGTTTCAATAAGTTTGCAGAAAAATTCTGTTATCTTTCAGTTCTATTTTTCCATGAATTTTTGAGTTCTCATGTATGTATATCTATGAGAATGGCATTTAGAGCAGCATATGTGACTGACTCCTGATTATAACGATAACTTTAAATATATATTTAGGAGGTTGGGTGTCTGTGTTTTAACATTTTTTTCACGATTGTAAATACTGTGATTTAGTGTATACATTTTCTTCTGTTGTAGGACAGTTCGTGTGTGGTTAAAGAGAGACAGTGGACAGTATTGGCCAAGCATCTACCATGCAATGTCTTGTAAGTAATTCGATTTCTATCTTTAAAAAACAAGCACGCTCTGAATTCCCTTTTCTTTCTATGTTGCCTTCTCGTTCGGTAAAGCTTGATTAGGGAAGACTGAGGGTTGGGATTATAATTCTAATAGAAAGTGCTGTATTAAATGGCTTTGGATTTTCTAAAGCTCTCACTCTGTAAAATAAAACCGTTATTCTGAAATAGGTGATTGATAGCTCTGGAATAAGAAGAGGAAGGGCTGCAGCGTGTGGCTCTGTGATCACAGTGATCCCCCCTCTCCAACTTTTTATTAGCTGCTTAATAAAGTACTTTCCTAAAACCCAGTGCCATCAACTTGATTCCAACCCCTAGTAATCCTATTTTGGGTTTCTGCAACTACAACTCATCATGAGAGCAGACAGCCTCATGTTTCTTCCAAAACCAGCTAGTGGGTTTGAACCGCTGCTTTTGCAGTTAGCAGTCTAATGCCTAGCCAACAGTGCCACCAAATGCTTAAAAAATTGTTCAGTGATTTTTTTTGTTCAGTGATTTGTGAACTAAATTTGTTGTTATAGTATAATGTCAGTTATCCAAATTTAAGACGTATCACTCACTCTCGCGACCATCAAGTCTCTGCTAACTCATCAGACATTTAGGATTGAATGTTCAGTTCTCAAAAGGATTGAAATATTCTAATCAGGAGTCAGGCTCATTGTCCCAAGGTCTTAATGGAGAGATACTTCTCTGCATCAATAAATAATGAATCCTCCAAATATACTTTTAAAAAATAGAAGTTCCTCTACCAACAGAAAAGAGTAGCTCTTCCCAAAACAAGGGAAAAATATTTTTAGTGTCTTATCTTTAAAATCCCCTTTAGACATTCTATTCCATGTCCATATTAATATAAAGTAATTATTTGAATTCATTGTCTGTTGATTATTAAACATTTCTCTCACTCCCAACCATCAGATCTTAATTAAAACAGTTGCCTTAGGAAACCCCCTAAGCTTGTTGTGTGAGCTTTATGCCCTCTGACCTGCTCTATTGGGGAGCTCCATCTCTTCATGCTTGAGAAGTCCATGCTACAATGTACACACAAAGTAAATTTAAGCTGAATTGTAGGTATGATGAAATTTATGCCCATGGCAAAAGACCACTGTTATAACTTAAACAGTAATTTGCCTGCTTATGAACAAATGAATTATTAAGATGTAAGATTTTCAGAGATTTTGAAATTATCTCTAGGACTTTGCGTGTCTTGAATTTTTTAGTAAGTAGATGACACTTAGTTCAGCTTTGTGATTAGCATGTATTTACTACAACATTCCAAAGACACTTGACGAAGAAACTTCTTATTTGTGAGTGTGTGTGTTCTCCCTATAACCTGTTCTGTCTCTGGTGAACACCATTATATGGCCTAGGCCCAAAGTAGAACTTTAATTTTAAAACCTGGCTGTGAAGAATGCTTAAGTAAATAGAAAAGGAAGAGAATTATGACATCTACCCTGATTTTAAGTCAAGAAACGAATCTTACCTCTAATCTTGCCCTTAAAAAAAAAAATCTAATCTAAACCTTGTCTGACTGGGAGAGATTAAAGAAGGATTATATTCTAGCAAACAAATCCTGGTGGCACCGTGGTTAAGGCTTTACACTGCCAACCCAAAAGTCAGCATCTTGAATCCACTAGCTACTCTGTGGGGGAAACACTTGGCAATTGGCCTCTGTAAAGAATTAAAGCCTACGGAAACGGCATGGGAGAGTTCTGCTCTGTGCTACCAGAATGGACTTCATAGCAGTGAGGATACTCTATCAAGTTGGAAATGGACCCTCGGGACCTGCAGCTCCCATGAATAGAGTGGAAAACAGGAGATGAGGAATGATGAAGGTGTGGGAGTGGGAAGCAAGGAATCTATTTGAGATGAGCATTTATAGGAACTTTATAACGTACAGGATCGTAAGCAATTACTTGCCCACTCCTTCCCATTGAACATATATGCATATACAGTTTGATATTCTCTAGTGCTCACTTTATTTGGATGTCACAGAGAATACAGCGAAGCCTCTAGCCTGCGTTTTTCTTTTTAATCATTTTATTGGGGGCTCGTACAACTCTTATCACAATCCATCTATTGTGTTCTCCACGTGAGCCCCTGGCATCAGCTCCTCATTTTCCCCCCTCCCTCACGAGCCCTTGATATAACAAAATAAATTATTATTTTGTTATATGTTACACTCTCCGACATCTCCCTTCACACACTTTGCTGTTGTCTGTCCTGCAGGGAGGAGGTTATATGTAGATCCTTGTAATTGGTTCCCCCCTTCCACCCCACCCTCCCTCCACCCTCCTGGTATCACCACTCTCACCACTGGTCCTGAAGGGATCATCTGTCCTGGATTCCCTGTGTTTCCATTTCCTATCTGTATCCTCTGGTCCAGCCGGATTTGTAAGGTAGAATTGGGATCATGATATTGTGTGGGGAGGAAGCAATTAGGAACTAGAGAAAAGTTGTATGTTTCATTGTTGCTATACTGCACCTTGACTGGCTCATCTCCTCCCCATGACCCTTCTGTAAGGGGATGTCCAGTTGCCTACAGATGGGCTTTGGGTCCCCACCCACACTACCCCTCACTCACAATGATATGATTTTTTGTTCTTTGATGCCTGATACCTCATCTCTTCGACGCCTCGTGATCACACAGGCTGGTGTGCTTCTTCCATGTGGACTTTGTTGCTTCTGAGCTAGATGGCCGCTTGTTTACCTTCAAGCCTTTAAGATGCCAGATGCTATATCTTTTTATAGCTGGGCTCCATCAGCTTTCTTCACCACATTTGCTTATGCACCCACTTTGTCGTCAGTGATTGTGTAGGGAAGGTGAGCATCATGGAATGCCAGTTTAATAGAACAAAGTATTCTTGCATTGAGGGAATACTTGAGGGGAGGCCCAATGTCCATCTGCTACCTTAATACTAAACCTATAAATATGTGCACATAGATCTATTTCCACATCCTCATATATAAATATATTTACATATGTACATGCCTATATTTAGACCTCTATAAATGCCCTTTGCCTTCTAGCTCTTTCATCTATTTCCTTTGACTTTCCTCTTGTCTCACTATCATGCTCAGTCTTCATTTGGGTTTCAGTAATTCTTCTTGGTTACATTATCCTTCATCATGCCCTACCAGGCCTCCTACACCCTCCTCACCACCCATTTGGATCACTTGTTCCCTTGTCCCTGGGTTTGTTAACACCACTTCCTTTCCCCCACCTCCCTTTCTCCCAGAGCCATTGGTACTGTTGTTTTCTCCTCCATATTGCTTATCCAGCCTATCATTTAGACAGACCTGCAGAGATAATAATATGCCCCAAAACAAGATGGAGCAAAACCAAGCAACAAAACAAAACAACAACAACAACAAAAAGCCAATGACAACAACAACAACAACAAAGAAAAGCTTGTAGTTAGTTCAAGGACTGTTTGTTCGCCTTTAGGAGTGTTTTCCGGTTGAGTCTGACGGGGTGCCAAGCCCTGGCCCCAAAGTCTATTTTTGGTATTTCCAGGGGACTTCGTTGCTCTGTTCCCCTTGCCATTCTGTCGCACACCCTTAGTATTTTGCATTGGTGTGATGGCATCAGATTGGGTGCAATTCCCACACTGTCTAATTTGCATTTTTCATACTTTATTAATATATGCAATACATGAATGCCTAAAGGCCCTTGTACCTAATATACCTGGCATAGATGCTGAGTAAATACTTTACTGAGTGAGTTAGTAGACTCATAGTAAAGATGAGTTTCCAACAACATATATTATTCATTTTTCTGATTGAACATGAACCTTGAGAAGGCAGACCATATGGTTATTTGCAGATATTACCTGTGGTATACTAAAGGGTATAAAAAAGATTTTCAGTGATCAGTTTTAGTACTAACTGGAAATGCAAATATTGGGTTCCACTTCAGAACTATTAGATCAGAATATGTATTTTATTTTTAAAATTTTAAAAATCATTTTATTAGGGGCACATACAAATCTTATCGCAGTCCATACATAACATCAAATGTGTGAAGCTCATTTGTACATTCGTTGCCCTCATCCAGAATATGTATTTTAACAAGGTCCCTAGATCTGAATGTACAATGAAAGTGTAAGACGATTGTCTACAATATTATTTCCAACGTGTTGATTTATGTACCTTTGGTTATATGATAATATATAAAATCTCATACAGATCCCCATATTATATTAATTTATAAACCTGTAGATATAAATACTTATTTGAGTCAATTAAAAAGGTACCAACTCACTACTATGCACTAAGTGCCGGGATTTGCAAATCAATAAAGTGCTAGAGGTTCAGGTAATTTCTTTAATCTTTTATTGTGGGATGGTTTCATTGTTGCTACCATAATAAAATTTAAAAACTAACAACTGTGTGAATTTAGATCACATTAGAATTTAACCTTTGTTTAACTCGAGAGAGGCAGTAGCATTTTGTTTTGTATCAGAAAATGTCAGTTCCCCCTGTTCCATACAAGCAATACAAAAGTGGAATATTTCTCAATGTAATGATTTCTCCATTTATCCATGTTGTAGCATGTGCTAGAATTATATTTCTCTTATGACTGAGCAATATTCCTTGGTGAATATGTATCACAATTTGTTATTTTTGTTTATTGACAGATATATAGTATTTCTACCTTTTTTGCTATTATAAATAGTTCTGCTATGACCATTGGTATACAGGCTTCTATTTGTGTTCCCCTTTTCAGTTATTTTGAGCACATATCTAAGATTAGGGTTGCTTAGTCACCTAATAGTCCCGTTTAACTTTTTGAGAGTCAGCCAGACTATTTTCCCTATCGGTTATGCTATTTTACATTCCCACCAGAAATGGATGAAGGTTTCAATTTAATCACATCTTCTTCAACACTTACTACTTTCCAAACCATTTTGGTTTTGATTTAAATTTAAAAAATAATTAATGATAAACATTTATTTATGTGTTCATTGGCC